ACATTGAAGCCTTTTGTGTTAGATTTAAATTAATATTTTATTTATTTATTTAAAATGAAGTTTGATAAACTAGCATGAGAACATTAAAGCACTTCATCTGTTTAACTTAAATTAAACTAGCTTTCCTAGCTGCAACACTAGAAAAATGGCTCAGGCGTAATTATCTTATTAATGGTGAGTTTTCATTAGCAACTGGTAGTTCATGGGAAGATTTATACTGAGCCAGGTGGTCCATGGGTCCAAAAGTTTGAGAACCACTAGTCTAAAGACTTCCCTTGCCACAGAATTTGCCAATTAGGCATAATACTGGTTGACTGACATGCATAACTCTTTTGCTTATAAAATAACTTTGAATTGCACATCATATTAAAACATTCTCAGTGTTAAGAGTACTAGATTGCTTGAAGACATGAAATGGTTCTAATTTACCAGCTAAGTTTTAGTATATGGTTTTTCTACTCTTCTGTCTGTGACCTTGCTCTTGACTTGGAAAGCTCATAACATAGTTTGGAAGGGTGAGATGAGATTTGATGTGCATGCTAGCCTAGCTGTGGGCTTTACATCAGAGGCCAACTGTTTTACCAAATTATCATTTTAATAGCTGACAGGCTCTGTGCAATAGCAAATTAGCCTCAACAGTACATTGTCTTTGTCTAATACTAAGTGGTTGAAGATAAGGGAGGAAAGGCCAATGATTTGTTTTCCAAGGAATATCTGTGTGGATTTGTATATAATGGAACCACTTCCAAAAGAACAAGCTGCTCCAGACATGATGGAACCAAAGCTGGACGAAAAGGGTGAGGAATTCAGGGTTTGAACTTCAGGAAAATGTTTCTTGAGAATTACAAATTGAGAGGGCTCATAATCTGATTTAGTTAGAGCATGTTTAATCTTCTGATATGTTTTTTTTTTTTTAAATAGTGTTTGTACTCAAGGTAACATGACATAGATTAAACTGTTACAAGTTCCACAACTTTTTGGGTGGCTTGAAGTATAAGGTAATAGGTATGTAGTTGTCTCCAGCCTCTCACCGGGGTGTGGTTAGGAGAAACTAATGACAGACTGTAGAATACTGTGAAATCCTTAGATGAAAATTGCACTTAATGGCACTTACAATAAACTTGAACTTCTGTATTTCTTTTCAAGTTTCACTAGCATTGTAATTATTGAAACAAGGTCTGAATTTTACTGAATTAGTCCAAATATTTCTAAGCAGTAGGTTTAATCATGATTTGAACAACACAAATTTCTAAACTATTGAAACAAGGTCTGAATTTTACTGAGTTAGTCCAAATATTTCTAACCAGTAGGTTTAATCATAATTTGAAGAACACAAATTTCTAAAAGCCTGTGGCTCAGAATGTTGCAAGTCTGTTGAAGTGCAGGAGTATGTAACCTTGAGTCTCACACTTACTTGTACTCCTCTTGCATTCTGGACCAATTTTTTTGGGGGTGTCATTTGGCCCTGTGGAAAAAATTGAAGCTTGTAATTGGCTAAGAAATATTCCTGAACCTGTATAAAACAACATTCTTTGAAGAGCAGACTGACAGATTTTTAGACCATTCTAAATTTCACCCTATTACCAACTTGATCAACTTTATTTCTAAAATGAAACTAATTAAACAAGATGCTTCTTCCTTAAGTCATGCTGGCCTGCCCAATTTTGTGACTGTGTGAAGGGAAACAGTGCATAGAGGAGTGGAAATGTTAACCAAAATCAGATTTTTATTCATTGTTTTTGGGATACCTACATTAAAGTATGTTTAGTTTTGTCCAGTTTAAAAAGTCTAGGGAACAGACTTGTAGGGGTCAGGCATGACTGAAAGCTTCTTTGAATTCATACCACTTTTAAAAAGGTAATTCCAGTAGATATTTGATACAAGTAATATACTGATTAGAATGCCTGGAAAGTGTCCAGTTTCTTCAGACTTAAAAGTAGACTGCTCCGTTACCCTCAGAATCCCAGACTGATATGTATTAGGATTGAAACATGAACATAGAGTATTATAGTAACTTAAATGTCTATAAGAAAATATAGCCATCGTTAAGATGAACTGTTGTAGAAAGCTAGAAAAGTTACGCTGTTAGGGTTAACAGACCCTACCCTCCACCCCCCAGGATCTGAAGTTGTTGTCAAATTCCTAATTGTAACTGGTACAAAGAAGGAAGAATCATTGGGGTTTTTTTTGTAGTTCCATAGAATCATTGGGGTTTTTTTGTAGTTCCATAGATGTGACAATTTAAGGCAGATCTGGGTGTTATGATTAGACTAAAAATCAAGCAGTTGGAATGGCTGCTTTCCCATATTTCCAGCAGAATTTAGGATAGACCGGATTATTACCAGTGATTGAGAGCTTTAAAGTATGTGCGCACTTAAGACTAGTCTACATAGTAAATGAAACCAAAATAACTCCTCAGTTGCAACACAGTTATATGAAAGAGGGTGCTGTTGATGAAACCTGTATCTGTACATGACTAGCACCAAAAGTACTAAAGGTGTGACTTAGAGCAAATGTAGCTTCTGACCCAGGTTTTATGTAGACAAATGCTTAATTGTCCTACCATTACTCACATATAAGCTTTTAGTGTTGGACAAATGAGCCCTGTGATATTTCTTCAATACAGAAAGAACTACCATATAAGCATATTTTCAAGGTAGGATGTATTAATCTGCCGAAATGACAGTTTTCTAAACAAAGCCTGTGGCTGAAGTAGTAATCTTCCCACCAGTTAGGTGCAGCTACAGTAAGTGCTCTAGCACACAGAATGAAATGCAAAGTGATATGGCCCCACCCGCGGGCTACGCCTAACTCTTTGCCACGGGCCATACAACCAGGCTTCCATGTGCAAGACTCCCCCTTACCCTGAACCCAAACTGGCTCCCGGATGTATTCATTCACTTACCTACTCCTGTATCAAAATGTATACTGTGCTGTTTGTAGTGTGTGTGTGTGTGTGTGTGTGTATATATATCTCAGTGTGTGTGTGTGTGTGTGTGTGTGTGTATGTATATATATCTCAATCTTCTGTTTAAAATCTGTAGCAAATGGTCTATTTTCATAAACATGCATTTCTTTTGTTTAAGGAATTAAATTTCTTTGTGCTGCAAAACTTGACTTGCAACTGCTCTACACCTGAGGCTTTGAATCCACTTACTAGAAATGGCTTCGAAAATACCTCCCTCTAATTTAATAGCTTAGTTTTGTTAAATCTATAGGCACAACATGCCTTACAGTTACCATAGCATTGTCTGAAATCTGATCTTGCTGAAAATACCTCCCTCTAATTTAATAGCTTAGTTTTGTTAAATCTATATGTACAACATGCCTTACAGTTACCATAGCAATGTCTGAAATCTGATCTTGCGTCCTGTATTTTAGTGGTCTTGGTATGATACTGTTTTAAGCAGACAGAGCTCTTGTTTGAAGATTTTGAAGCCATTTAAAATTTAGATATCTGCCTCAATTTTTTTTGCTAAAACTTCAGTAATGGTAAATAAGCTGTACTTTGTTTTAAAAAAAAAAAAAAAAATTAGTGTCACTAATGGTAATAAACTAGGTAAGTCTGTCTAATCATTGAGTTAAGCTAATATCCAATTTCAGTTGATAGAATGGATTGTGCAGTGAAACAAGTCTTCTCCTAGTGTCGTGTCTCTCTGCTTTTACACATTTAAATACACAATTTAAATGAACTTTCTTGTCACCAACTAGGTGACATTAATAGAAACTATTAGGGGTATAACTTCCTGTTTAGCTGGTTAATGGATTTAAAAGGGGGGGGGGGTAGGTGACCCCGCCTCCCCCCACTGCTGCCAGTGGCTGCATGGTCTGAGTCAGAGCAGCCCATGCCTGTGGGGTGCCCGGGCCCACCGTGGACAGGGGCTGCTTCCAGATGGGATGCCAAGGCAGCCCCTGTCCACAATGGGCTCCCTGCCTGCAGCAGGAGGGGAGCTGCTCCAGCCCCCACTCAGGTTAAACATTCACATGCCTAGGAGCTATACACTTAGTTCCTAAAACATGAGTGTATAACTTGAGTGAAAATAACATGCCTTGGTATACAGGTGCAAATGGCTGGTTCTACAATTGGAAACCTGTTGACAAATCTGTGGCTGCACAGGTAGGAATAACATATGCATTACTTCCATATCTCTGGCACTGCAGTGTAGAGGAGGTAATGAATTTTTTTGGGGGGGGGAGGGAGGTCCCTGTAAGTCAGGGTTGAGCAAATGCTGTCAGCTGGCCAGAGCCTGCTCACCTAGCTCTTTCATTCAGCCTGAGGCAGCTCCTGGGCCCACCCCCTAATATATTGCCTAGGAGCCACTGAGGAGGTGTGAGCCCTTTAAACTCCTGCTATTTAAAGGTCCTGCCCTTTCCAAGGGCTACCCCTGACCACTTATGAAGTGGCCCCCCCTTAATTTTTTTTTAATCCAACCCTGCTGTAAGCAGATGAGACTGAATATGAGGGCTATTTTTGCGTAGCCATACTCCTAAAATAAGGTCAAGGGAGCATACATTCCAAGACCAGCTACCAGTGACTATGGTTCTCTAATGCAGCTTTTATTGTTTCTGATTTGGGGGGGGAAAAAAAGCAACTCCTCCTCTTCTCCATATCCTTCCCTTTGTTTATGTAGGAGGGATTTTTAAAAGAGGAAGAGTAGTTCTTCAATAACTGTTCAGTGAAAGGTGCTGCTTCACTGGGAGCTCAGTAGCAGAATACTAATTTGCACTGCAAGGCATGGGAACTTTTTGTGCCAACTTGCAAGTCCCCAGCCAATGACACACTGTCTGATGAAGGTGATGGTAAATGTTGTCACTTTCCTAACAGCAGGATGGTGGGTAGAATCTATGGACTGCAATAAGCATGAGGTCAGACTAGATGATCACGAGGGTCCCTTCTGACCTTAAAGTCTGAGTCTATAAGATGCCAACAGACAAGATTACATGCCAGGAGGTCCTGTGGGAATTCTTCAAACTTTGACGGGAGCCCACAAGCCTTGATACCATCAGCTCCACCCTAACCTGAGATATTAGCACAATAGCTGATTATTTCCAACACAGGAAACTTAAGCCTAGTTTGAGATCAACCAGGGTGGCTGCTTTCCTCTGAAGAATAAAATGACTAATACTTAAACTCAATGTGAAGCTCTGCTGTGAGAGCTTCAGCCATGAAGCTAACCCAAAATAGCTGTATATTCCAGTCATCTGAAGAAGCGGGTTATGCCCATAAAAGCTCATGATACCATCTACATGTTTTGTTAGCCTTTAAGGTACAACTAGACTATCTACATTTTTCTCATTATAGACTAACTGCCACCCCCTGAAGCTCCAAAATCTCAGTGGGATAGTGGACTGGGGTTTGGCCTTTTAACACCTCAGATACCTGTAATAAGGTCAGGTCTCCATGTTGTGCTTATCAGGAAACTGACTGCAATCATGGGGCTCCTGTCTATTAACTTTACAAAGGCAATTTCTTTGGTCGAATACCGTGCACCATTGTGGTTCTATGGCAGTTACACAGTTACATTTTACTGGCCTTGATTGATGGCTTTTATTCTTTCATAAATTAAGGTGAAACTATTTCTTTTCTTTTTTTTGTATTTAACTTGGCATCCTAGCTAAATTATTACAAAAAATGAAGGTGTTTTTGTGTGTAAAATGTGAAGTGGGATTCCTATGAAAAAACTATGAACAGCGCTAAAGGGAAAAAAAATCGAACTTTTGTTTTTGCTGTTAAGAACAGTAGTAATTCAAGAGAAACAAGTAAAGAACAATAGTAAATGAGTTAAAATAACACAAGTTCAAATTGATGGCTTCTTCAGGAAAACAATTTTATTAGAGAGCACATTGACTAAAGAACCATTACTAGACGGTCCCCTGAGAGGCTAATTTCAGAGGAAACCTATTCACACTGCTCTTTTGAATGTCTGGAGTCTGC